TCTCTGGATCCGCCCCTGTTCACTGTATAATTGTCTCAGGTCACATAACATTTTGAACTTGACAAAGCAGGCATAATATTCCAATGTGCAAAATACATGGTACTATAAACAAAAACACTCATAAAAAGTCAGTTAATATATTCTTTACTCTACTGACGGATTGAATCCAGGATTTGAAACAGTCAGACACAAAAAGAACAGGGTCTATTTTAGAAATAAAATTAAGAATGAAGACAATTAAAATGAACTGTGTGGGGACAAGCCCAAAGTTTCTATGATTAACCTCTGACAGACTTACTTGTAAGATATTCACACTGTTTCTTATAAACCCTCACTACGCCACACATGAGCTGTGAGGATAGGTATAGGGAAAGACGGGGTTGAGGGTTTCCAGAAGATAGCGGTTCTGCTCTTAGCATGATGTAATCCACTATATCTTGACTGAATGAAGGCAGATAATAACATAGTGTAAACATGATTAGGTTGTTAAAATGTTTTATATGATACCAATTGATATATGATTAGAAATATGTTGATGATTACATAAGTAAATGATTAGGCCTTAGGGCACTTAGAAAAAATTATTAGATTATCACTTTTATTACAATTATTATTTTTTTTAATTGATGAGGGAGGGCGGTTTTTTGTTTTTTTTTTTGTTTTTTTTTAATCGGAACATTAGATTATTTCGCTTTTTTTTTTATCGATGAGGAAGGGGCTGTTTATATTTGGGTCTGTAATAGTAAATATTGTATAAAAACTGGTTTAATTTTATAGTTTTTTAAAGAAAATGTATCTGAAGTCACAAAATTGCATTGTAATTTTTATGCTGTTAAAATAATTGATGCGGCAAAGAAAATTTTTTTTTTTCCCGCATCAATATTGCCCGAATTTTTAACGCGTCCAGGAGTGATAAGCTAATAAAAATTTTTATTTACCCTAAACACCTCAGATCTTGTGTAAAATTTATGGTTTTAAATAAAAACTATATCAATATTATTGGAATAAACAAATTACCAGGTGTCAATGATTTTGACTGAGACATACTCCCGCTTGGTAAGAGTTGATGCTTTTGTTGCAGCAATCCTAATGGCAAGAGAAACAGCATTTATTTATTATGTTACACATATTTCCTAATAAAATGTAAATTGTTTTACATAGGATAAATGAAAACATAAAAAAGAATTATATAGTTAACAAATGGATTGGATGATAGGTTGAAAATAATGCGTAAATCTAGGCCTAGGCCTATATAACAAAGGCGTAGAGAATAGGAGGGCACATTCTTGACCTTAAAATGATTTACTAGGCTGGAACTTGACTTACCAGATTATTCCAAATCTCCCTCCTCTTTTTTGCAAGATATTGTGTGAGTAAAACATGACTTGTGACTGGTTGTAGGCCTAGATAGGCTATTTTCACACTGCAGCTTGAAAACTGTAATATTAATAAAATAAATGTTGCTGTGAAATGTTGTACTGTGGTCCGACCCAAACCCATCTTTGAATTCCACAAAACACAAATTAATCCTTACTTTCTCACCATCCTAAGATTAAACAAAACATAGCTTCCTAGGCCTAGGCCCTATACAGGCCGGGGGCGGGGGTGGTAAAGCCGGGTAGGCCCCGGCCTAGGCCTATCTATAGCCTGCCCCTAAGCCTTGCCTAAGGGCCAGCCAGGGGATGGGGGGGCTGCCCTAGCCTAGCCCAACAATAAATAAATCCAGATTTCATTCAAGTCCATGTATGGCAATCTATCGACACTGACGATACAATTAAATATTAAATAATGTGGTTAATAAAATATTCACCTATGCCTACGCCCAGGTATACCCTAGGCTAGAATTACCTACTTCTTCTTCTTCTCTATTCAAAAATGACAACAGCTTGGGTAGAGAGGCCGGTGGCCCAAATTTATTTTGACAGGAAAAGTACTTTTGGCCAATCATTTGTCTTGAAAAAGCAGACCTCAACGTTTCAGCCAATGACGTCCAATCAGCGCCTACGTTTTTTCAGCCTGTAGCTTTCCCGCGACACGTCGAATGGTCGAAACCCGCGAAAGTATAACCTTTCACCTTTGGGTAGTTATCCCATCGAAATTTCCAATAAACATGGTAACGTGAATCCTGTGTGCGAGGGTAGGGCCTAGTTAACTGCCAATTATATTGAATAATGTCAGTGGTTTCCTATTTACCAAAGAACTGGTGCATTTTGCTAGGTAGTACCGTAATAATATTTGGAAGTGCATCTTGTATGTTGTATGTGCGATATGTTCTAAGAAAGTTGAAAAGGTCTCGCAAAATCGAGGATCGCATCGAAAACGGTACGTAGCCTGGGCTACCTAAGGGCCTATATAGCCTAGTTAGGGGCTTGGAGCCTCCTTTTAGGCCAGGCCTAGCCTAGTTCCTCTGCTGGGCCTGGCCTACCTTGATGGCATGGTTGGCCTAGGCTAGCCTCGGGCCCAGGCCTCTCTCTCGCTAGAGGAGCCTCTAGGCCTAGGCCCTTAGGTAGAAAAGAATCATCATCTTGTTAAATTTGGATTTAAATAAAACCTAGGGCCTAGGCTAGGTAGCCTAGGCCTAGGTCTATTAACTTATAGTTAGTAGGTAGGCCTATAGGCCGGGACCAGCCTATGACATATGTGAAAGATTCTACAACATTCAAACATTAAAACAAAGTTTATCTGATTACAATCATCTAGGCCTATTGCCAGGCTACGCCTGGACTTTCTGTGATTTTTTAAATATTTTATTTTTCCGGAATTATGGTATAGGTCCTAGTCAGGCCTAGCATACGGGATAAGACTACTTCGGCCGCGCGGAATTTGTATGGCGCGCCATATGGGCATTATCGTTCACCAGCTATTTCATTGCATCAAGGGGGATTCTCGCGATCAACTAAATAGCAGCCTAATTGTTTTCTTTTTTTAAATTGAATAATTTATGATAAAAAGAAATACGATATAAATGATCAATACATCAATACATATATGTATTGATCATTTATATCGTGTGTGAATGTTATTTGATTGTTTTCTTATTGCGTCTTTAAAATCTTTCGTCCCATTCCCATCAAGATGTTGATTCCCACGATCAACTACGGTACTGTATTCTTTCTGATGTTTGCGCGCTGCTCTAACCCAGTCCAGTCAGCCAGGACTGTGTTTTACCATGTAAATATTATTTGGGCGAACTTAGTATAGCGTACGTTTTTTTTTTTTTTAAACCTGTTTACTGCAGATCTTAATAAATTTTAACGCTAACTTGCCACTTCTAAAATATTTTGCGGGGATACATCAAAAACCAATTCAAATTTGCGCAAAAATCTCTAGAAAAATAGGTGCACGTTTCATCTGTTTCCTTCCTTCATCCATGTTATGTCTGTTAAGAATTTATTCATAAACCTTTGTAAGTTTTAAAAGCAAAAGCAAATAAAAAAAAGTATATATCACATGTTTGCAGGCTAGAACAAGCCAGTCGACTATTCTCACGGCTAGTAACAGCAGTATTAATGCGCCTACATTCCTGAATTGGCAGCGTACAAAGAATCAAACTACTAGGTGACTGATCTTGTGTCTGGTTCTCCCAATAGCATTGTGGGAACCTACTTGTTGGAATGTTTCTTACTGATTTCACTGTTATGCACTTGTCAATTGTAGTCCCGCCCCCCCCCCCCTGACTGTAGTCCCGCCCCCCCCCCCTGACCCAGGCCATAGGGGGGCACTTGCCGGGACTGAGCCAGGGATGTACACATAGTTGTGTCCCTGTAGTGCCGGGACGTACCTAAAGTTTACCCGTAGATGTAACAGGCCTCGAAAGGGTTTCGGGTGTGTAGGCCTAGCCTAGTGCTGTCAAACCGGGTCTGGTCCTACTTAGCCTACACTGGCTTGGCATTCAGTCAACACTGTCTGTTTTGGTAATTAAAAAATCGCCTACCGGTACTTTAGGTCTACCATCATGGTTTCATTTTTTATAGCAAGGTATAAATTACATAATAAAAATTGAACCTCCAACCTCACAACGCTGAGGACCGAGGTGGCGGCGCGTGTGGGTAGTGTGAGCCAAGGTAAGGAAACCTGTTCTACTATTGTAATGTATTCATTTTCTTATTTAGGCCTAATTTCTGTTTTGATATTGAATAATTAAATTCCATCAATCAGTTATTATACAATCAATCATTTTCTTTTTCTATGATCAATCTGTCAATCTCTCTCCTTTTTGTTCACACTTTTCCAAACTTCCATGCTGCATAGTGATACGCATGCGTAGTGCTACCATCAAGCAAGCTCATCTGCTTGGCATAGCTCCTGCCTAGCTCTCACATGCTTCTCTGATTTAGACATAGACTAGATTTTTATACCTCCTTGCATCAAGTACGTCTTATAAGCCAATCATTTATTAGCGGGGCATTTTACCAGGACTACAGCGGTAAGTGGCGGGGACTTAGCCGGGGGATACGTTAAAATGAAGCCCCGCACTGCCGGGAGCTGGCGGGGACTTTTACATGCATGTAACAGTTTTGAAAATTACATCCCCGGCTAAGTCCTTGCTAGGCCCGGGTCCGGGGAGGTGGGGACTACAATTGACAAGTGCATTACTAGGCAACTTACAGTACAGGCAACTTTGTATTTTGTTGTCTATTTTAAGCAGTTTATTTCAATGAACGACAAAGTAAAAGCATCAATACAGAACTGCGTGAATTAATTTTATTGTCTTAGTTGTTAAAAATTTTATTAAAAATATTTTTCGATGTGGGAATAAAATTTGTTTTTAATACATTCTATCTAACTATGAAAGGAGAGTGGCTGCAAAGGCAATGTATACACAAATATAATAATAATAATGGTCGACTTATAGAGCGCATATCATAGACACCTCTATGCGCTTTAACATAAATAAGAATACAAATATGATACTTATCTAATCCTACTCCTTAAACTAAGCATGGATTGGCCATTGTATTATATTATACACAAATATATAATAACGCTAAAGCGTAAAGTACGATATTGCCAATATTTTCATTTTTCGAAATAATACGTTTTTCAAGCACAGCTCTTCATCTATTTACCTGTCTATCGTTCATATTTAAATCTTGTACATTATACAAACTATAAAACCCAACCCTAAAAATAGAGTTACTAATGAATGTTTATTAAAATCAATATCACAATAATAAATGACATTAATATACTTTATTATTTGTGAAGAAATCCTCATAAAACTTATAAAAGTAAAGTAGGATACAAAATATAGCGCAATTAATGCTAAAAAAAAAGCATGTTATCTTTCTTCTTTTCCATCACTTTTATTATATAATTATACTCATAAATGTTATAAAAGTAAAGTAGGATACAAAAATATGGCCGGCACAATTGATTCTAAAAAAAAAACATGTAATCTTTGATCTTTTACATCTGACTTTTATTGTATATTTATACAATTAATGTTCATTGATGCAACGTCGGTTAAACGTTATTCCGTTCAATACTGGAAAGCTAAAATTTAAAAAAAATGAAAGGAAAAAAAAGCACACAATGAATGAACTTGATTGCTTAATTGGCATAAAACACTGAACACAGCGAGCGCTCATTGATTGAAAGGAGCGCTCTTTGATTGAAAGCAAGCAAAAAGACAGCATTATCGGTGCTCCGTACTTTTTGGCACTCGATCGGTGGTGGCAGATATTGTCGGCGGCCGAAGTCTGCCAAATCCTAGCATACTAGGCCTAGACGCCTATGATGGATTTATGTGCAAACAATGTGACCTTTTGACATTTATATAAATAACAAATTAAAACTTTATTTCAATATCTCAAGCCTCTTCACAGATTTTATGTTTTTCTTTTTTGTTTTTTTTTTTATTTTTACTTCTAAAACCCTTAACTTACTTATAGACTACTAGTACTAGGCCTAGAACCACTCCCATAGCACCCAACACATCTCCTCCCCCTCCCTGTTACTGTACAAATTTAAAAAGTAATTAAAAAAATATTTACATACAGTAATGAGTTGTTATTATTATACATATCCTCACTAATCTGCACTTCAACTCCCATCTCCTCCCTCCCCAAATCTCAGACCCAGCCCCTTATTTATCGTACCCCTCTATTTTAGATACAGTACACTGTTAGTAGACCTACGTATTAGTACTGTACATCACATTATTTACAATTGCCACATGTCCTGTAAATCAAAATACCTCCACATCGCCATCCCCACCACCAGTCCCTCCATCATCGATAAAAAAGGGAATAATTATTTTATTTTTATACCACCCGCCCCCATCAATTTTTTTTTTTTTTAAAGAGTAATAATCTAATAATTTTTTCTGTGTGGCCTAAGGCCTGCGCGGGGAGTATCCTCTGCGCAAAAGTTTGGCCTAAAAATTTGTCCGATCATTTCGAAAGGGCCGATTTTCGCACAGATTTTTGCCGAAAATTAGGCTTTGACCTTTAAAACTGTTCCCTGCTTTGACCAAATTTTAATATAACCGATGCAAGTACGGTATATGCAGTAATTACGATTCAGTGCACTTATTTTTCTAGCAATTTTCTGCGCAAATTTGAGCTGATTTTTTAGATCGTCCTCGCAATTAAAAAACTTTACAGAATGAGCATAGAGTAGTTTTGTAACCAGGCATACAATATGGAATGAATCTTCGGATGAAGCGCCTTAGATAAAATTAATTTGGCTAGGCGCTAGGCCTATATAATATCAGCTATTAATTATTATTATTATTATTATTATTATTATTATTATTATTGTTATGGTTTTAGATGAAACACTCATTTTGCAGAAACACATGGCGTGATCATAAATTTCTCACGCATTCAGACTTCTCTAAATTGGTAAAATCCATTTCAGTAACCAAAACTCAAAATTTCAGTAGTTTTTTTGGCAATTTTCAGTAGTAACGCACTACAAGATTGCATGCCGCTTTGGACCACAGGCATCACCAAAAGAAGCTTACTGTAAAATAGCTTTTTAACAAGCGGAAATTGGATTGGATTGGATTTATTTGGTGTAAGCACCAAGGATAGCCCACGAAAGTCTAGAAGACTTATTTCCAGTGGCGTCCTTCTGGTGGTGAGTGAGTAGTGCACCGGGAGACAACCCTACTCTTTTCTGCGTTCTTTAACGTGCACATGGGCCATAAATGCCCACAAAACCAATGGCTAAAACGTCTCATCCAAAAGACGGTGCGTTATTGTAACTTTTATTTCAGCCCTCTAACTGAAACACAAGGAGAGCAGCGATGGGAATTGAACCGGGGGACCTAGAGATCTCCACTGTTAAGCGCACACACGGTGGCTACCACCAGATTAGCCGACTGAGCTAAGCTACTCTAATAGTCTTCCTTATTGAACAAATTTTTTTATTAAACCAGGTAGTCGTACAGTACAGTATATGTTTAAGAATTCTTCATTTTTTTCTGGGGACTTCCATCGTTATTAGGGGGTGTCATATTTTAAATGGGACTAGGCTCTCTTCTCTTTGTGTACTCTTTGTACAAACTAAAGCCACAATCGCACTGGACTTTTTTTGGTAAAACTAACCAACACGTTGGCTAGTTTTACCATAATTAGTCCAGTGCGAACAGCACAGGAAGTTTACCTGACAGGAAACTTACCCAAGCCGCGCGGTTACTTTAACCGCGTCCCGCTTGCCCAGGAAAACTGACCAGGTTAGTTTTACCTAGCAGGAAAGTCCAATGCGAACAGCGCGAGTCGGGTAAACTTCACAAGTCATCACAGTGAATGACCTTCCTCAGGCTGTCAGGCAATTATGCATGAGCTGTGACCTGGAATAAAACGTCACACACAAACAT